GCGCTGGCGGTCTCTGATCACCAGGAGTCCGAGCGGGCGGCGCTGCAGCTGATGTCTCTCCAAATTCTGGAGGCTGTCTGCGCGTCGCACGACCCCCAGTGCGGCGGCGGCGGCGGCGGCGGCGACGGCGGCGGCGACCTCCACCCGGACCGTTGGCGGCAGGAGGAAGCCGCACGGCAGCTGCTCGCGGCCGCGGCGCCGTCAGACCTGCGGGAGCTTTCATTAGTGGCGGAGGCGCTGCTGGCGGTGGTGACGTCATCCCTGGCGGCCGCAGCCGAGGCAGGCGGCGGCGGCAGCTTCGCCGGCGGCGGCGGCGCGTCGCAGCAGCACCCGCATGGGGCGGCTTGGGCCGAGGGCGGCGGCGGCGGCGGCGCGCCCGAGCGGCCGCTGCCCGACGCTTACGGCGTGCTGTACGACGAGGCGCTGAGCAGCTGCCGCGCAGCTGCCGTGGAGGACCTCCTCGCCGGCGGCGGCGACGGCGGCGCGGCGGCGCGGTACGCTATGGCGCAGGGTGTCCTCTTGTTTCTGTCGCTGCCATGGCCCGAGCTGGGCCCGGCCGGGCCCGGGCTGAGCATAGATGAACGCCTCAGAGTGCACCGCCTGCACGCCGCGGTGTGCGCCAGGGCGGCGGCAAGCGCCGCGGCCGCGGGCGCGGGGCGCGGCCCGTGACTGGCCGCGCCCCGCCGCGGCGGTCGCCGTGTTGCGGGAGGGGGGGAGCGCTGGAGTTGGGGACCCCGCTTCGGCGCGGTAATAAAGGGGTGATGAGGGTGAGAGATGAGGAGATGCAAAGGCCAAGGCTGCTGAGGCCGTGCGCCCGCCGGCGGCTGCTGGCACCCCGCGCCCCTGCCGTCGCCGGCCTGGAGGCGAGCGGCGGGCACCGCAATCGCGTCATCGGGTCCCGCTGCGACGCGGCGCCCGATTGCGCTGTACGTCCCCCTCAACCGCTCAAGCGCTTCCGCGAGAGCGTGCGCAATAGCAGGCACCCGGAAATGCCATTTCGGTTGCCTGTGCTCTGTACGAACGTCCCAATGCCTGACTCATCAGCAAGCACCAGCCAACATTAGGCTCGAGAGCATTGTATACTGCCACCCGGTCGGTCAACTCTGACCGACTTTCTTGTAACACAAACTCAACACGGTTTCTCTAGGAATATCGTCCCGTGTGACGAATTTGCACGGGAGAAGCTGCCTCGAAGCCACCAGGCACCCGTCCAGGCATAGGCCCGCAGTGCCATGGGAACACCACACGCGAGCGATCAGATGCGTGCAGTCCGCGCCCAGCAGGATGGGGCTTGCCGCGGGCACCCTGCAAGCAACCCCCAGCAGCTGTCTGCCGGGCAGCCATGGATGTAGTGGTGGTAGTAGCGCTCGCCCGCACCACCTCCAGGTTCTTCGCACGCACCCGCCGGGCCCACACCCACCTTGCCGCCCACGCGACCCGTGCCCGCCGCCAGCGGCCGCGCCGCCGCGCCTCAGGCGCCGCCCCGGCCGCGGCCGCCGCCGCCGGCCGTCAGCACCGCCTTGGTGACATCACTCAGCGCCTCGTTCACGTCGAAGATCTTGGCGTTAACCTCGGGGATCCCGAAGCCCTTCAGGCGCTGCGCGTGCATCACGAGGTAGGCCTCTGCGCTGGCCCGGTCCTGGAAAAGGTAGATCCCGCCTGCTTCCTTGGACGACTGGTGCTCGAGCCAGATCTGTGTGTGTGTGTGTGTG